GTGGCTTATTTATGCTCACAGTAAAGCCGAGTTGAAATGAGAATAGGAGGCGCTTCAATTGAAATGGCAGGTCTGATGGGATGATTGGAATGAAGACATCCTGACCTGCAGCATGATCAGTCAGGATTGTAGCCTAAATGATATGTGTCAACAGCTTCTTGACAGCCAAACATGTTCCACTGCAGAGTGTTGGTGGGTCCAGATTCCTAAGAATAATGAGGGGTGCACCAATTTTGAGCTCTAGATTGTGTTGTGACTGTTTTACCAATCTTTTCCAATGAGATCATTCCATGCAAATTCTCAGATACCATTTCACTTTTTCCCAGTTGGAGTAGGCTTGCTGCAAAGTTGCCAGCAGAAGCATCACCTGTCAAATGCACTTGCATGTTGGTTGTTAGGCTGAGTTGCTGAATGTTGTTCCAGATATATGAAGCTTTGATGCACGCCTACAGCTCATCTACTTTGATTCCACATGGAATGACTAGAAGTGTTTGTCAAATGTCCCCAGCCAACAACAGAGTGACACCTCCCATTAACTTGTCATTATGCCAAAGATCTTGCAGGATTTCACGACAGCTTTACGAGACATAGTGCACTCATCCCAGACAATGAGCTTACACTCCCATACGACCCTTGCTTTGTCAGCTCCAAATATTGCAAGTTGATGCCTCTGGATTTGCCAAATTCAAGGGCAAGTTGAAAACTGGGCAAGCTGTTCTTCCTCCTGTTATAAGTGTGGCAGCAATGCCTGATAAGGCCACTGCCAGGGAAATCATGTTTCTCTGTTGGATTTTGGCCAAAAGAAGATTAATAAAAAAAATTTTCCTTTTCCATCTAGAGCATCCAGAAAAAATATACTACTATTCCCAATGAAAACAGCTTCATTGACTTTGTTCCGGAGTCAGACATGGCTCATTCTCCTGTATGTATTCAGCAAGTTGGTCCATGTTGTATTTGGTTTCTCTCAGGATCTCATTTTATAGCTCATTATTATTGTCACATTGTGGCTCAGGGAGGCCAAAAGTTTTTACATCAGAGCCACCCAAAGCTTTGACCTTGTCTTCAATAATAATGAGAGCTTGATTGAAAATGCCATCACAGAAATCTAGTTTTATGTTAGGATTCTGCAATTGTGCTAGGTGCAAAATGTCTCCAGGCATGTTTTTGTTTTGATTGTTCCAAAGTTCCTGAGGATTAGACATGGCACATATCTGCAGCATAATGAAAAATATTTTGCATCATACATGGCAACTGAGTAGCAGCCGCTTCCTTCAATGTGTTGTTCCAATGTGCATCATCTTCCAGGAGGCCCTTCAACTGGCAAGCCTGTTTGCAAGTCTCACAGATTGCATCATCCACTGTTCACAAGTCCCCAAAGGATGTTGGCCCCTTGACCTCATGTAGAAGCAGATGCAAGAAAAATCATTCAAAATTGTTAGGATGCACAGTGTACACATGAGCAAGTGCATCACTGGCATTGATATTAGGATGCCCTGGCATATTTTGTTTTGCTCTGCAACAGGCCCACTTCTTGCTTCCAGTGTTGCATATGTAATACGAGGGTATCAGATGATACAGCAGAGTCTGAGCATATTCATCTTCCTTGCAGAACTTAAAAAAAGCTGTGAGAGTAGTGTCATTTGGGGCTTGGGTGCACTCAGCTTATTTCCTTCAGTGAAGTACAATCTTTGGACATTTTAAAAATGCACACTGAAATGAACCACCGTAGTATGTCACTCATGAATTGGCAAGTTCAGAATTCTCCAGATGGCCTCATTGCTGCTGATATATCACCCTAGTTGATATTGTTGAACCTCATCATGCCTGATTCTATCCCTTGTCAGGCTAAACACAATCATGTCAGATCCTTTGTTAACATACTTGCAGACATATTTGATGGACTTTATAGAGTTGTAGTAATCAACATTAATGTTAGCATTGAAGAGTAGAGACAGGAATGAACAATATGGAACAATCCACTTGTTTTCAACTTTGATTTTATAACCATGAACCTTGACAGATGTTGTGAATCAACCATCTTTTGGTTTTCTCCAATGATACAGTGGATAGTGGTCTTGTCCAGTCTGTCTCTCTTTCAGTAGCTGTCACGGGTACCTCTTTGTGCACTTGTCCTTCATGCATGGTGATATGGGATTGATTCTTCCACACGGATCATGCACCATCTGTGTTTTGACTGTGTTGAAGAGCAATTGATCAATGTTTGGGTAAGGTAGTTCAGCACTGATAAAGTCACCCACATTGTGCACATGAAGTTTCTCTAGAAGCCATAGCAGAATGTGGGTATGAGTCAAGCCATGTTTTTGCCATTCAATGGTGTACATGTAGCACTAAGAAGCACGAAAGATCTTGCCCTTGGAGATTAGATTAGATTCATCAGTGATTTCAATTTTTTATGACTCTTGCTAGGAAGTCATGGCATTCATGAGGTTTTTTGGTCAAGCATCAGTTCATCAGACACTCAGGCTTGGTTGCAAGTGAATGTAATGAATAGGTCAGGGTGCCCATAATTTCATATGTACATCATGGTATCCTGAGTGTGCTCACACATGTAGCGAGGACCACCTGTGAAACTGGAAGGCAATACAACCAATTGGCCAATGTTGGCAATGTTTCCATCACGGATCAAGGCATCCCACAGAAGGACATAGTCTTCAACTAGGAGCTTCTTTTGGTTTATGCGAATTAATCGTAGCCTTTCTGTTTCAATTTTTGCATACATGTCTACAGCAAACTGGTGGATGAGATTCTTGCATTGATGAAGGTGATTGAAACTTTCTCTTCGCAGCATTATCCTGAATGCATAAAAGTCCATAGCAGAAACTTTTTTGGGGTTGGAAATCTTTTAGCAATATTTATTTGACGTGGTTCAAAATGTTACCACTCAACACCCCAGAAAATAAGTGGATAATGAAGAGCATCATATGTACAGTGTGTTTCTGCAATTCTCTGGAAAGAGTTATCCTTGAGCTGCAGTACAATGTCTTGATTGCCATGCTGTTCACCAGCCATTTCTGATGTTGTGGGTATATTGAATTGATGCTTGTGCTCACCAGCTGGAGTCTTGTCTGCACAAATGGCAATGTTGTAAGCAGGGATCATCTTTTCCCTGGTACACTTGAAGCTCTGAACATAGTTGTTTTCTTGGTGTAACATTTCTTGCAACTGCAAAACAACTTACAGCTTTATTTGGATAATACTGTTGCAGCACTGTTTTGCTTCCTGTCACCCATGAAGTAGATTTGTAGAAATCTGGGGTCTTCATTGAGTAGTGGCTGCAGGCTGACAATCTGGCCTTGCACTTTAAACATTGGCATGTAGCCATGCTCTCTGATCTCTTATGTTGTATCAAAATATGCCATTTGGAAGCAAGAATTGTATTTTCTAATGTTCTTTTGGAAATTAATTGCATTTGAAGAGCTGTCTGTGAGAAATGTGGTAAGAGTATCAGGAGGATCAATCAGAGGAGGCAGTTGGATTTTGCCACTATTGTAGCAGATCCCTGGAGTTTCTCCTTTCCATTTCAGTGCTTAGCAGTAACTGCAAGAAACATAATCAGAAGCATAATCCAACATTGGATTGTAAGTAAAAGCAGACTTCTCTATCCCTCCAAATATGGTTTCTGGCAGCAGCCCTTGCTGTTCTGTTTGCAGCTTGTCTAAATGGTTGCTGTTCTGCAGTTTGAGCTACTATAGCAACAGCTATTCCTTTTCTGTTTGTTGTTTGTGCAATTGCTCGCTGTTCTGCAGCTTCAATCGCTCTTGCAGCAGCCATTGCTTGTCTTCTTTCTTGTTGTTCTTGAGCTTCAATTGCTTTTGTGACAGCTACGGCTTGTTTATTTATTGTTTTTCTTTCTATCCTGTTGTTTGTGGGTTTCCTGAACATGGGCTGTAGCCTTTACAAGACTGACTTCTTTTACATTGGCTACTTACAGGCTTTTTTCTTTTCGTAGGAGCCACTTGCAAATTAATTATAATATTATAGGTTATTATAAAGTGTGTCTGTATGCCTGTCTTTGATTGCTTTGGAGCTGTGGCAGTCACTCACAGATATGCTCTTTTAAAATTGTTATAAAATTATTATAGATAATTATACATGCCACTATATGTCTCGTTATCTAACCTATACAAAAGCCAGCTTGTAATGCAGCATGTCACATTGGATCTCTTTTGCTTCTTGAAATAAGAGGAGTTGTCTAACTTATATAAAAGCCAGTGTGTGTCATGTTACGCTTGATTTTTCTTGTGACATAGTGTGAGATAACCTAGCCTAGAGCCAGATCCATAAAATTTAACAAGTAGTAAAAATGTCAATCCAATTTTAACTTCAATAATAAAAATAAACAATAAAAACAAACCTCTTTAATCAACGAAGACTATATTAGAAAACAACAAATATTTTTTCAATTTTATAGTTTATACCCTTCATTTTATAGTTTCAGCACATAGAGTAACAAAAATATTAGGCTATACTTTTATTGCTAAGCAGCATGGATAATAGCCATTGTTGGAATGCACTGTTACCAAACACACTGGCTTTTTTGTACATTAGAAATTGTCAGATAAAGAACCACTTCTTTTCTATGTGTTTTTTTGCTAGCTTGCCTCATTAAGAAGATGTGCATGCACATGTGCATGACAGTGATTTCTATTTGTAATATAAGGAACCACTTCTTTTTAATATGTTTTTTTGCTAGCTTGCCTCGTTAAAAAGATGCACACACACATGCGCACACCCACATAGATAAGTAATACCCAGGGGTACCCCAGCAGGGTCCACTTAGTATAGGTGCAAAATTTTAGGTTTCTAGGTTCTTTCCTCTTGGAGCTATGGCAGTCACATACACACCCTTTTATTATTATAGATAGATCAGTCTTTCTCCATATTAATTATTTGTATAATTGCTGTCATAGATGTTATGTAATAATTGTAGGCAATTTGTTGCATATGAAATTTTATATACAATGGACAGAACTGCAAAGATGTGATACAAATTTACTTGCTTCAACAAAAAATGAGTAGACTAAAATTTACTTGTCACTATTTTTTGTATTAAAAATTCAATTTTTTATTAAAGAAAAAAAAACAACCACACTGTACAAACACTAGTCAGCTAGTCCAGCAAAGAAATCTGCCTGTCTAGTGGAAGCAAGCTTCTTCTTTTTGTTTTTATGCTTAGGTTTAACATTTGGATCCTCTTCTACATCATCAAGACATGAAATATTCCAAAATTTAATTTTCTGGTCATGAGAACAGCTAGCAAGAAATTTTCCATCTCTTGAAAGACTCATGTTCTCAATAGGAAATTCATCATGGTTGCCTACTATGCCCAAAAATCGATTGGGAAGAATATGAACAGCTCTGTGGGAGAACAAAATAAGACTTATCTAAATTATAGTTTAGATTGTCTTTAAATTAATGATAATAATTATTATTCTTATTACCTTATGGTTTGTTTTTAGAATTGTAAAAATTAGACTTTGAATCTTGACATGTAAATATATGTGACATACAAACAAAAAAACTTCTAACGATTTATTCATTATTACTGAAAAAAAAACAAGCAACTAAAACTTTAACTATAGTTAAAATCTTTCTATTCTTTACAAACATCCATACCTGATGACTCCATCCATTGAACCAGTACAAACTACATCGTCACTAATGGCGACTATAGTATCTATAGACATAGGATGACCTGGAAAGCGATCACTGATGTTTCCCCATTCTCCCCAGTTGAATATATTAATTGCACCCTCACCTGTTCCAACAGCAAGTTTATTTTCATTCTTAAAGAAGATAACAAAATAAAAAACCCTCATAAAAAATGTTGTATATCACATGTAAGATTGCATAAAATGTTTGGTATATCTCCAATGACCATTTCTATCCTCACATTCAGAACAAATTAATACTGGGTGTAATTTTTTTTCAAAATGTTTTCCATAGTAGCAACTGTTACACAAAATAACTTTGTGAAACAATTGGAAAAATTTGCATAGCAGTGCATAAGCATGTGGTTATTATATCTCAGGTTTGTAGAATCTAGAAAGGAAAAATACTGCACCAAGTTGCTCGAATCTCAAGAAAAATATTAAAAATAACATGTTCTGTAAAAAATATTTTAATACTATATTTGGTATTTATATGAATGCTTTACCTTAAAAATGCAATTTTTAAATCAATGCTTTTCTCTACTAGACCTATTCTTGTAATCTATTTTTCTCTCCAAATTACATCTTTATGGATAATTAGGAAAATCTCAAATTTGCACGAATAGCTCAGACATCAGCACCATAATTTGCTTAGGAACCAGCATGCAGTTAAAACATAAATAAAATCCTTGATCAGCATTAATCACACGAAACATAATATAAAATTTGATTTTAAATCTTAAAAAAACCATTTGAACGTTATTATTGGAAGTACTTTCAATTTTTGGTATACAATGGTGTATTTACAATAAAAATTGTACTGCAGTTTGTGCTATGCAAATGTAAGATTGAATCACAGATAGATGTAGATTGCAAAGTGTGATGCAATACTGGACAAAATATTCCCTGTAATAATGTGAATAAGACGACTACTGGCTACTGTATATTTGAATCAGGAGATTCAGAAGGATTCTGAATATTGTTTTAAATTAAAATGTATACTTTATGTGATTTTGCTCCAAAATAATGATCTCTCGATGCTTAGCAGGAAAAAGTGTTGGTTGAAAAGTATAATTATTTCTACATCATTAACTTTATATTAATTTCTGCATTAAAAACATAACTGGTATAATATTCAGACTTATGAAATAGACTAGGAAAATTATATATCACAACTTTATTTGGCTGACAAAACTTTAACTGCTCACTTTAAATTAGATTTAAAATATACTTAAAAATAATGCTATCATATTTTTTACTCACACAACTATTTTCTTTTTCTTATGCATAAATTTTAATAGACCTGTTTTCAAGTTCTAAAGTTTAATCTTAAAATATAGATAAACAACATTGTATTTGTACACGTACAATTTGAAAAAAAGAGCTAAGCAGGATTATAATAAGTAAAATTAATTAATTCTGTCCTTTAGGCAGTTTTAAATCCTTACTACTGGGAGAAAAAAATGCTTTGAAGTTTTTAAAGTAAGCAACTGTACCTAGAAACACTTATGCAAGTATTTTGCTTAATTCTTTCAAATAGTGTTGATTCTAAATAAAACTGACTTGAAGAAATATCTAATAAAACATGTTCTCAGCTTTTACAGTACTATGAATAGTGTGTCAACTGCTTTCCCACTGAAATAGAAGAAATGAGTGCTCTGATGATTCTTTAGAAATCCCTGGCATCAATCCGTCACTATGAAGTTGTAAACATTGAAGCTTCTTTCAACATTTGCTGAATTTGTAACATAGTTTATGCACTTCAAATCCAGTGCAGCCAGACCTGGCACCCTATTAGCTGCAGAAGCTCAAATGTTATGCAGAGTAATCTCCATGTTTCCTGGACAATCAGAACAAATGTTTTAAAGTACAGCTGTAGTTTAAAATCAAGTACATTCCCAAGTCCTGGTATAACTGCTTCAGATTCTATCCTGCCATGAATGAAATGAAAGAAAAAATTTAGTGGAGTTGAAAATGTGAGCAGCCTTCAAGAAAAGCACGGCAGGTTGTGCTTTATCCTGATACTTAAAGAACTTCTCTGATGTATCTTTGAATGCTTGATTCAAGATTCGAAAAAAGAGCTTGTTTTACATCAGGAGGCAAGTCTTCAGTAATAGCTGCAAAGCTACTGTACTCCAGAGGGGCTGCAGCCCTGTGTATTTCCAGGTATATGGCCAAATTTTCAAGTGTGCCATAGATAGCAGTTACCACTGGCTTATGGTTCTCAAAAAGAGAGTGAGGATTTTCTCAAGTTTCTCCTTCAGAAAGAAAAAGCAGACTTCAGCTCAGCAAAGGTAGCTGTATCTAACACTTCATTGAAAGTTTGAAATGAAGCAGGGATAAGTCTGATCAAATTCATTTCATTGAATCAAGCACAAAAGCCCGTGAATACAGTATGGTACTCAACAATATATAATAAAATAAGTTCCATGTTGTAGCAACAGGGTCAGTGGGGCAGTCTATACAGCTTGGGAAACACCATGCAGAATATTAGTGAATGATTTCTTCTTGTACTGGACATTATCAGTATCCAGGTTTAAAATATATATTGTAATTCACAGTAGACTATGTGACAGTTTATACAATAACTTGTGTTACTGTAGAATAATTTATAATATCAACAACCTTCGTGCAAGCCATACAAGCTGATATACAAATGTGAAACATGAAACAAAGCCAAACATTTCATCAACTACTACTGTTTCCTTCAGCTCCTGTTTCTTTGGCACACGTTATTCGGGTAGCTAGGGTCTTAGGAGATGGTCAGCACTATTCCACACCAGCTTGAGTAAGAAGTCTTTCACAGCTGAATTGTTAGACTCTTCAAGCGTGATGTCGTCTTTTGAACACATTTCATCCCATACATGGTGGATTGTTACCCAGCCCTGGTAAGCTTTAGCTGAGCACTAAAATGATAAAGTCAATGTAGTCTACTTTGTTGCAGTTTGTTTATCTTTTGCTAATTTTCTAGATTTCAGAGACAAGAATTAGACTTCAAATGATCATCTAACTTTCTTTGATGTATAAGAACAATACTGCATGCTTGGCAAAAAATATTTACCTGCATCCTCATATAAATGTCTTAAATACTTCTGAGCTTGATCTACTGCTGTTTTATTGCCTAAGTAGCTTCTTCCTCTAAATAAAAGCTTACTCTGTACAAATTTATCCATTTTAGCAATGGATTTGAATAGTGACAGCAAGTGCTATAAGAAGTTTTTTTGGCTTTTTCAGAAAGAGTGAATTGATTTGATAAACAAAGCATACGTATTTAAAAGCTTATAGCTCAGCTTTGAAGAAAGTTTGTAAACTTGATTTTAATCAAATGAATAGCTAGTCTTGTTGCTACAGTTGTTATTACATATAAAATCAGAATTCTACAGTACATCAATAATTCTGCTACCCAGGGTGGATTTTTGCATACATGTAAAGTGATCTGCAACTGCATTTTTCATAGAAAGGAGGGGGTTAACAATATTACCAAATAACATTCAATCTAACCAATGACATTTTTCAATTTTCCTTGACTTTTTTACCTCCTCTTCAAATACAATGTCCACCCTGGTAAAAGATTCACAATGTTCTAAAATTAAATGATTTTTGTACTTGTATCTCATATCACCCCTAAAGTTGTTACTCTTCAGATTCTTCAGACAACTGTCCTATGAAAACTAAAAGTCATGGTTCTATCTTATACATTTACCTTTACTACAGCCATGGACAAGAACTCGGATTCAAATAATTCTGACTGAAGCTCCATACGTTTAGCTCGAATGTTGAATGCTGTCAGAGTACCTTCGCCACTACAAGAAAAATTAATAATAATTGCCAAGATCATTCTTTACTTATACGTGTAGTACTTAGTGATTTATTTAACAAAAAGCATGTTACAAATAATAAATGTGTGAAACTTTTCTACTACAAATACATTTAAGAACGTTTAGGAATATTTATACAATTTTGATAAATTGTAGATCTTAAAATTTCTTTATTGATCAACCTCAGAGTTAAGTTAACATCATTTTGTGCAAAGGTATTGTTAAATACATTAACAAAGATAAAAGTTTTAGTTAATTCAAAGTAAAAACATTTGATGATACAAAATATTTCCATTAGTTAAAAAAATATTCTCCAAGCAGACTGGAGGGAGAGTCAAAACTACTCAGCATCTTAGTAATTTACTAAGACATTTGAAATTAATTTTGAGGTTTTCAATTGTTTTATATCTAAAGCTAACTTCATAATCAATATTAATTTTAAATTCTTAAGCCTACAAATTATGTTATGATGCCATAGCATAAGATCCACTTTTTAAAACACTAATTAAAAAGTTAAATTTTTTTTAAAGTACAATTACTTTTTTACTGATAATTTGCAAGACAGCTAATCTTCTCAATCCAAAAGAACATTTATGGTTTAAATTAATTTTGGAAACTGACAAAACCTCTTTTGTTTTATAAAATCTTCATTCATTCTTGTCACTCACACACACACACACACACACACACACACAAACACATGAAAGATAACTTGTCCAATTGATGAGTTATTGTGCAATGTGTTTCTTTATATATTTTTTTACAATCTATTTGTTACAACTTGTGGGGAGGTACAACTTAAAATCTGAGACACAAGGTTTGATGAACTTGGTAACATATACTGCATGCAAGTTTTAAACTAACCATTGGGAGATTGTAGTTTAAAATTTGCTCTTTTTATTGTTTCTAAACACGTACGTCAAAGAAGTACATGTGGCTTGTAAACCCTGTAAACAAGGACTGGTAAATATCACTGTTCAAGAAGTTTTGTGTTTAAATGTACTTGTACACTAGTGTTGTATTAATCCAGTAATACAGACAAAAAGTTTAAATTTGTGAATGGTCATGCATTATGTGACAACAAAACTGAGGTTTCTATAGGGTTTTGAGTCCATTTTACCTCATCATATGGTAACTTAAATTAATTTAGGTATGTGAATAATGTTATGACATCTTGTCAAATTTATTATTCAATACCATACAGTGGACCAACTGATTATTGACTGTATATATATGTATATGTATGTTAATTTTTCCCCAAATGTGAAATTGCAAAGAAAATCTGTGACATAGAGGCCCAATGCATTCTTTGTTTGTCCAGACTATGGTTTCAGTATTTTTTTAAAGGATTCTTTTAAAAGTTATAATTTTTCCTATACTGAAAATGTATTTCTGATAGGTACTTCCCTCTGCTTATATAATATAAATCAACTTCTCCATTTCACCAGATACAAGGGACAGCAAAAAGGAGAGAACCGGAACAATCCCACTTACCTCCACTGTGACCCACAACAAGGAAGGAGCATGATCGAGGGAGGAATATAGACAATAATAAACTTGTGTCGATTGGTTCTACTCTAAGTCCAAAACCCAGCCATGGGGTACTGACATCCACAAGAGAGTAGGATGAGGGCTCCCAATCAAAAGAGTGAACTGCAATTTAACATCTCACTCGTTTGTGAGTGTATATTGCCCATCCCTGCCATGCCTTATATTGAATAAATTGGTATAGTTTGTTTTTCAAAATATGGTTTCCTGGTAACCCATTATGCTGTCTCAGGTGATGACATTCATCCAGACTCTCCACCTTGTTCTCACCCCTCTTTCTTTTAGTGGAGTGTGAGAGTCCTTACCACTTTCCACTTCCAAGCTGCTGATATGGTCGACTGTGGAGGCACCCTCCTGAATGGGTTTCACACAAAGATGGCTATAACCATTCAGTAAGGCGGTGGTGTTCTGCTGGTGTAGATGACTGCTATCCTTGGAATGCAGCTATACCCTTCTGCTTTACCTATGCAGTCCTGGTAGGTAGAGCCTGGATTGGGCAAGTTTATGAAGCAATTACATTGCAGGGTTATTCACCTACAAGCGATCTTGTGGAATACTCCATCTCAACAGTGATCATTGCGAAGCCATGGAAGATAAAGCACGAGTCAACATGGCTGTATAGTGTTGAAGAATACCTGGTGAGGCATCACAGAGCAGGATTCATACAATAAGTAAATGAAACAAGGAACCCTGAAAGGAAAGAAAAGTATGAATATAAATTTACCATGTCAAAATCGCACTGAAGCCTGAAGAATGGCCACAGGTGGAAGATAAAAATCTGATGAAGAAGAAACCACGATATAGTGTAAATAATGGGAAACGTATGTGTTAGGTGTAGTCCACATGCCTGACTGTAGGATTTCCTCCAATGGCTGACAAAGACAAGATGCAAGAGAAAAGGTGAGGTGTCCAATCTAATGAGAAGACACCTGGAACAAATTCCGAGAGGAAGAGGACAAGGAAGAATAAGCCAACTGAATCAAAAGTCAAACCCAATTGGTGAGGGTAGAAGGGGAAAGATCCCGAACAGATGAAGACTGCCAAAAGGATAAAGAGTTGGAAACAGGTACCATGGAAGGAAACCATGTGGGCAATATAACAACAAAGAGTACAGACTGGACATAGAAGTCTAGCTGGATCAAGACAAGGGTAGAGATGAGAAACAGAAGGAAGGGAAACAGATGAAAAGGTGGAGTTATCCTCCCTAGCTGCTGAGGTCTTTGGTAGGAAGGAATGATCCGGATACAGGAGAAGATAGGTAGAGTGATAAAGTGCACGTGAAATGTCAATGGCAAACAAATCAGACCTTTGATGTCCAAAGGCTAACAGGAAATGGAAATACATTTTAAGGGAAAGGTGTAACATGGAACACGAGGAAAGTGGTTCAAACGGCAGTAAAGTGAGGGAATAGAGGACCACATTAATATCCCAGTCCAGAATAGTAGGCTGTTGGGGGGGGGGGGACAAATCCGGAAAGTATGCATTGACATGGGAAACAAAAACTCAACGGTACCAGAAAAAACGGGATAGGATAAGGCAGCCCAATAAATTGAGAGTGAGGAGACCAAAGACCTCCGGTCAAAAAGGCATTTGAGAAACTCTGCCACTCGAACCATAGTAAGTCAATCAGCAGGGAATCTCTAGTCACAGAATAACTGCAGAACACTTTCCATTTGTGCTGATACACCTCCATTGAAGAAGGATGTACGGAACAAGCTAAAAGGAAAGCTACTCAATGGGAGAAACCTGATCTCCTCACCAAGGACTGGATAAAAGCCAGGCATGAAGATGAAGGACATGAATGGCTGAATGTACAACCAGTGACTGAGGTTGACAAAGAAGAGAAGGAGACAAAGAAAGATGTCCTGGAGAGAAAAGTTACAGTTGTTGTAATCGTGGAAACCACAACTGAGCTGGCCAATAAGAAGCAATCGGAAGAACTCTACACGGAGTGGTATAGATGAGAGAGAGAGATCACCCAAGGAAGTAACTGGATAGGAGGATAAATGTAAAATAACTTGTGGGATCCAATTCTGGCTGAAGGCATTGACATCCAGAGACCAAGGATGAGGTGCTGGGGACCAAAAGAGGGAAAAACTTGTGACTGAGGTATGTGACAAATGCATCTACATGGGGAAAACCCCACTGATTGCAAAGCCACCAGAAAACGAGGGGATATATATTTAGTTGGGGTGGGAAAGATGATCAGCTACGAGATTGAAAACACCTGGAATGTAATACACAATGAGATGAATGTGGTGCATGTGGGCCCAATATAGTAGATCCAACATTTGAAAACAGAGATCTCTCGACCAGGTGTCCCCTTGGTGATTGATATGTGCTATCACCATACATTTATTGGAATGAATCATCACCAGATAAGGTCTGGTGAGAGGAAGGAAGTGATTCCAAGGCCGATGGAGCATGAGTATCTCAAGGATGCTGATATGCAAAGACCTTTCATCTACAGACCCTAAGCATCCTGATGATTGACCCATGCACCCCAGCCCTAAAGGAATGCGTCCGTGAAAATATGTAAATCCAGATGAGGAGGAGGAAGCAGGACACCTGCCAACGTGTAGGCTTTGTCCAACCACCGATGCAGATTGTCCATCAGGGTAGGAAGAAGGGTAATGGGAGCTGACAAGGGATCAAGAGCGAGGTTCTATTGATCATGAAGGTTGCATATGCGGAAGACCGAGGGGGGGACCAATGATGTCATTGAAGACCACAACCCAAAAGCGATAGAACCTCATGAGCAGAAAGTGTGGGAGCTTAAAAGGCATGGCAAACTGACAGTTCCATGGAATGAAGTCATTGAGGAGAAGTTTGGGCCTGACTGAGATGAATGTCGAGAAAGACAATCAAGTGGACAAGATATTGGGTAGGTCGGAAGAAGGACTCCTCCAACTTGATTAATCAGCACACCTGAGCAGCCACTAGACAAAGCTGACCAGTATGGCTGGCCGACTCCAATAGGAGGGAGCAGAAGGCATCAATGGACGAGAATAGCTAATCTTGTGAGCGGAGAGAAGTACCGTATCAGAATAAAGGAATTCAAACTTAAATAATACAAAACTTTGAAATATAATGTACATGATAATGCTAATTTAATTAATGTACATTGATAGCAAAGTTGTTTAATTAAATTTGAAATATAATTCAGTAAAACTTTGTGACATGCACAGAAAGGAGTTTAAAGAGCACACAGTTTTCAAATGGTTAAGGGAGCACATACCTAGTGGCAAGGACAAATTTTTTCTCAGAATTGGTGGTCAAATCACTAATAAACTCCTCACTATTCTTAGCTTCCATGATGGCTGTCTCACGACGATAATCCCATAGCTTGAAAAACAATGTCAAAATTATTCATTAAAACTTCTTACAACTGATAAGTTCAAACAGTTATTAAAATTTTACAAGTTACCTGCCCATAATCTCTTCAGGCAATTACTTGTTCAAATGATGTTTTGCTAAAACTTCATAAACCATAAAAAACTCCCTAGTTTAGTTTACTAAGTAGATGAAGAGAAAATTATAGAAATATAATAGTAAAACAATGAAACATGCATTTTATACAATTTTTAAGAGGTATTGAAAATATCCATAAATAGGGCTTTTGTTTAAATGAACATTTTACCTATTATTACATCAATTCTGAGACATTTCTTGGAAAGCCTTATAGCTAGATAGATATCCAAATTTATAATACAAAAATGGCAAGAATTATATATAGACACACACACACATACACAGTATAGTGTAATTTCACAAGACTGTAAATTTCACAAAAGTAATGTCTTCTTGAATGGAATGTACTGAAAAGTGCAAGACCTGTGTCTTGAGAAAAAGGGGTGAGGTATTAGCTGAGGAATAATGATCTATAATTATTACTTGACAGTCTGTTACCTAAAATGAACTACTTTATATTATAATTTAGAAAACTAAACATCAAAGTCTTTGCAAGAATAAATTTTTTCAACATTACATTTTTAACTTGGTTTGTTTTCTAAGAAATAAAAAAAATATATCTATCACCACTTTGTAAGAGGAAATGAAACAAAAGTCATAAAATTACCACATGTACATGCAGCACAAAACTATTTTATTGAAATCTAAAGTTCACATTTCAGAATTAATGAAATCTACAAGTATTTACTTTACCTTGAAATAACCATCATCATCTCCTGTAGCAATAAGATAATTGTCTATCACCAGCAAACTGTAAATTGGACTTCTGGTGTTGAAAAGATAAGTAAGATAGCTGATTGTTATGTGAAAACTCTAATACACTGTTTAGTACATACATGAGAAATTAAAAAGTTGTTAAAATTTAACAATAACTGTTCCAATCTAGTGTAGAAAAACAGACACTTTGCCAAATGTTTGAGAAAAAAAAAGTGTATATTATTTATGGAGTTGTATCTCTTTCATTGGCATGAGCATATATATGGGACATGGTCCACAAAAATGTGATATCAAATAACACACATATCTGAAAATTTTTAATGTCATGAAAAAAACATATCCCCCACCTTCAAACTTTGCAAAGTCTACCAGTTTCAGATAAATAATGAAATATTAAAACATTTGTATTTTTGTTTTTACTGAGCATCTAAAAATTAATATAATCTGGAGAAGAAATATTTATCTTTAAACATGGCAATGAGAGAGATAAATGACTGAGTAAACTTTGTAGGAAATATTTTTATAACAAAGTATGAAACTAAACAGTTATGAAACAAACTCAATCTTTATATTTCATTATTTTGTTTTGTGAAGAAATGAAAATACTTTGGTGCCTGTTTGCATCTCAGCAATCTTCAGCCTGCCAATTTTAAAATATTTTCTTATAATCTGAAACAAAACACCAATAGAACAACAGTATAACTAACATGTAAAAAAAAAAGCATTTTTATTGATTGTCAACATAAAAAAAACTGCATAATATATTTAATTAAAAAATAAAGATTTACTTCACATTCATATAATATTTGGTCAACATTTCAGTAGTATTAAATTCAGTAATTCAAATTATTGTGCTAAATGTAAACAAGTCTATTAATCATGTGATTTAGACACGACTTGTACTTTAAACAGTATATACGAAACAACTGACCTAATGTAAGTGGTATGAGAGCACTTAACGGGTGCCCAAATTTACATAAATTATCAACAAGACTCAATATTAAACTCATAAATGAGAACAGTTACAGTGCCCAAGAAACAAATCAAATATACCTGGGTGAACAGTAATGATCTCAAAACCTTGATTTTAGATTTAATTTTTAAACCCATTTATTCTTAACTCATTGATGTGTGCAGTTTTATTTTTATTTTTTTTAAATATGTTTATCTGATAATCAGAGAGAACATGTTGTCAAGTATTTCAGGCTTTATTTTCATTATATGAAACCCCACTATCTATTACATTTTCAGAACATCATTTTTCAACTTTTAATATAAATTTTAGTTTCTTAGAAACCATTTTTTATTTTAAGGTGTAAAATTACATAAGGTATGAAGTATTCAAGCCAACTACATTTAAAGATATTAAACTAATGATTAAACAAACCTTTGTATGAAAGCTACTGAGCAATGAAGCTGAAAAATACTCTTAAGTCTTCACAGTATAAAAGCATAAAAATGGATAGTATACATATTAATACTGTTAATATCACAATTAAAACTGAAATTTTTAACAGCATAAGTATGTTAGAGGATGTAAAATTGCTTTGATATACTTGTTATAAACTAAGAATTACAAAATACCTCTTCATTCTTTATACCATCATTCAATGTATTGCATTTGCTCAAGTTATCCTTGTTTTATTTTTATATTATTAATCCTGCTATTTATTACTTTTTTTTAGCAAATACGATTTAAATATGGATGCAAAATTTTTGCTTCTTGGAAAGCATAATTTTAATATTTTCCAATGAAACATTCTGCAGGTTGTGAAGTATCCTCTCACATCAACTTTATTAAATTTGCATCATATTTATTAAATGGAATATTACAATAAGCTAGTGTTATTTTGAAATCCTATTCAAAATGTTAAATCTAATGAGCTTACAAAAGCCTTGTATGAAGAATACTGAAACAGAAACACAGAACACAGATTTATGATTTTATACTAAAATGGTTCTGGAGTTACCACGTTTTTAAAGTCCACACTGTCATACTGTATCTGACTGCCGTGCATCTTTACAACAGCTTTGCCACATAATTTCCATTGAAAATAACTCTGGAATAAGACTACCATGTCCAAAGCACATCACTCCTCCCAGCTATCTTTCCATAATTCATCTAATGTACAGTGATAACAATTACCCTGTGCCCATTTCCAACTGTCTGATCGCACATAAATCCATAAGAAATTTGACAGACATGTCTTTATATGGAATAACTTGAATAACTATTTAATTTTCAAGCTGCTTGAGGTATGTGACTGTTGAAAAGCTATATCAAGGAAGCAACTTCTGTAAACATGACTTGTTCTGCTTTTCCAAATGCAGATCCTTCTTGATTATCTTGCATACTGTCACCTGGGACATGTGGAAGGCTTTTACCACTGACCTTTGTTCTCATAGATTCTCACCTATTACAAAAATTATACAGTCTAGTTACCATGGCCAGACTACAACTTGTTGCTGGTCTCTTTCTGGATGGTCCAGTATCCTAAGTTGATCCATATTCCTTTATTTTCAAATAACATGAATTCCATCTTGTAAATCCTAAATCTCTGACTTGAACATATCTTTATGATCTGAGTGTACAATTATTTTGCATTGGAGAGAACTGTTACATACCATTCACAAAAGCAATCACTTTTCAGTGGCATCACAACTACAATATGCCAAACAATGTCAAAATATAGTTTTGAGACATTCCTTTCCACCAAGATCTTCTATAAGTGTAAGTTTTGAGTGACTTGCTGACTTACATATTAACATTCCCTTTAAAACAACATACACAAATCTCTATAGTGGGCCAGGCTTGCTAAATCAGATATTTAGATAATTCTAATATTACTGAATAATTACCTTACATAATTAATTTTCAGTAACTCTAAAGCCTCAACCACAATCTGAAAAATGAATAAACAAAAGAAAACAGAAAATCCTATCTTTAAAAATCAGATTTTTTTTTCATTATATGATGTAAATAAACATAAATTGGAAAAAGAAAGTGTTTAAAAAGTGCGGTACAAAAATTAATTTCTTTGTAAAATAAGGAATGAATTTCCAGCACTGCCACAATTATTTTACAAGCCATCACCAAACCAATTAATCCTAACACCAATATAGGACTGCTACTTAGTTTACCGACAGTAACCATATGTGCTAACAAGTAGACACACACGTACATATACCTAGAAAGTGACCAAAAATGTTATTGTTCCTTACTTATGAGCATTCATCATTTTACTTGTGACAGATCCTGTGTTCATATCCACCACTTGTAAGGATTTATCCTTTGAAGCTGAAAAGAGCAGAGTACCATCTTCAGAAAAGCACAAGGCTCTGCAGGACTTTTTATGGTGGTCCAAAGTCATTAACTCATGGTTTGTACTGTCTACTGAATAAGAATATCTTCAACATGGAAAGAAAATAAAAACTGGTTACCTACATTTAACTTTACCTGATTTCTTGTCAAAGAAGAAAATTTCACTAGTTTTCAAACACATAATTTAACACAGAAACATTTTTAAAAATGAAAAGAAAGTCTAAACTATCAAATAATAATAAAACCTCAAACAGAGATGGAAAAATATGAGAGAAACAAGACAGCATATTAGATTCTCAACAGACAATAGATTCTTAGCAAATATTAAGTCGTCAAGAAATTAATGTTGCTTTTTTTTAGATGAAAAAACCCGAACAACTTATACATCAAAACAAAACATTTAATAAATGAAATAATATCCATTCTTATCAATGATGCTTTTCCATCTTACAATCAGGTTGTTAATGCCCTGATTAAAGAAATCACTTAGCTTTGATGTAAAAAACATGTTGATGTCCTATTTAACAACTTCCACATTTGCCTATGTTTTCCCATTAAGATGGTGTTGCAGCGAATGAAAGAGATGGTAATCTGATGGTGCCACATATGGAGAATATGGTGGGTGGGGGAAAACTTCCCAACCCAACTCCGTAATCTTGTGTTACATTAAACGTGCCACATGTGGATGTGCATTGTCATGGAGAAGAACACCTTTCCAACTGACAAGTGAAGGGCATTTCTGATGAAGGGCTTGATATAAACATTCCAGTTGTTGACTATAGACCTCTGCATTGACAGTTTGCTGTGGATTGAGGAGTGCAAAATGAATTACTCCTTTGGTGTCCTACCAAATGCAAAGCATCACTTTATGCGGATGGAATCCAGGTTTTGGGGTCAGAAGTGGTTTTTGTCTAGTACTGAGCCATTGTTTTTGGTGTTTAATATTCACAAAGAGAATCCACTTTTCATCACCGGTGACAGTTTCGTCCAAAAATGATTCACGTGCATTACGTGCCAGAAGAGACGAAGCAACATTCACATGTTGGAAATGATGATCATCGGAGAGTTCGTGAGGCACTCAAACATCTTCTTTATAGAGTTTTCCAATTTTCCTTAGATGTTTACGTACTATTTCATGAGACACATACAATTTCATGGCCATTTCACGAGTGTGTTGCCTTGGGTTAGACTCAACAAGCGTCTTCAGAGCATCAATATGAATTCCAACATGTCGGCCCCTGCTATCATAGTTTTTAAGGCTGAAGTCACCTGAACGAAATTTGTTGAACCATCGTTGACACTTACGAACGTTCAAAATATTTCCACAAACTTATTTGATATTCTTTGTGGCTACAGAGGCGTTATTTCCCTTCTTGTATTCAAACAACATTACATGTCAATGTGTGTCTCGTTATGTGCCATCACTATAAGGGATTAGAGTATACTAAACTTTACACATTATATAGGCTGCACTAACGTGACGTTTAGGCTGTTCGTTTAACTATTATAAGTGATGTACGTTTTTGGGGGGGTGGTTAATGAAAGTGTTCCAAAACGCGATATTAATTTCACACACGTTACTTTATAGTTTTCACTTACATGTGTTTTATTAAGGCTAATAGTGTTTCTATAGGCTGATGTTGTTATTATTATCAGGTTTTACTAAGATTCTATATTTGGATGATCTTACTAGTTGTATTGTGTGTAATTTACAAAAGTAGATGGTGTTATTATACTTCCATAAGACTGTATACAAATTTCAACTTGTATATGTATATATGTCAAGTATAAAGTAATATGCCTTCCAGGCAGTATTGAGAATCAATTGTTTATATTATTTATAGATCGATGCCACAGCAGCAGAGAGAAAGCTATGAGATAGTTTATATTAACTTCATGTTAGATATACAAGACTGTTTAGTGTAAGTGTAATTATTTAGTTTATTTTGTGATTAATATTTAATCATTGTTTAGTTTTTAAGACAGGAGTTTTGAAGATGGATTGTTTTAAAAGTGATAGTTATGACAAACTTACATTGTTGTAGTGGTTTCAATAATGTTGTTGACGTCACGTTACTCGAATCTTCGGTTTATTTTTCTTGTTCCTTAAGTGAGTATTGTTATCTTATAGCGCTGCTCGCGTAACTTAAAGAAAGTTCGAGGCCTCAGTGAACAATATATAAATACAGGCGACCAAGCGAGCGCAAGTTAAGTACAATTCAGTCAGAAAATTAATTGGGGAAAAGAAAATATGAAGTTAGCCAGCGTGTGAGTGATTAGCCATAATGGATGATATTTTAAAGTGAATTTTACAGTTTAATGGGGATAAAGAGAATAATTTGTCTTGTAAAAGGGTGTTCTAAAGTAATTGAATCAATCTGTGTGAACTTTGACGAAAAGGAGACAATTATTTGAAGTTAAGGATACAACTGTTGCAATCCACGGGGTAGCATATGTGAATTATTATTTGATACTATTGTGATAAGAGTAGAGAAAAATAGTTTTAAAGTAATTGAATTAGCTTAAGTGGACTATGGATATGAAAATATAATTATTTAGAGTTTGAGATACAACTGTGATATCCATAGTGCAAAGACTTTTTTTTGCATAGCCTGACTTGTTTTGAAAATACTGTTACGTCTCTGGTCGTTAGTTAATTTTCCGTAACAATTCTTTCCAAAGAAACTTTAGCGATACAAGTCCTTTCTTAAATAAAACTGGTTTATTCTTTCTGAAAACAACTTTGCAATACACTTAATCTCCACAGTCACGCTATAACAAACGCTGTAATTCACAATGAACGACACACGCGCTCGACCCAACAGTAAGCCGGGAAAAGACGTGAACGTTCGAGAATATGACGTATTACTAGAGTCACGTGACCCCCGCTGTCGTAACACTGCCCCTTCCTTAGTATTGTTCGTCCCGAACAATAGCCACTTACATTAAACCAATAAACAATTAACAATAACTTAATTAAATATACAGAATCTACGAACACAAAATTAAAATCAAACAAAGTCCCTTAATTTTCCGGGGCGTCTCTTCTTCCGTTCTGGTCTCACAACTTCCCGTAACTTTCTCGGTATAAC